TGTGTTGATATGTTCTTCTCTTCACGGGTATTTCAAACACACGTCAATCACAAGCGCTTAAAGATTTCAAGATTCATTTGCGTGGATTTACCTTACGGTATATGTTTTAGTTTACTTACATATATAGTATGATTATATCTAAGCTCCTAATATATATCACACTTAACACGCATTTTAACTGTCTTATCTATCTTATAGATATTTTTCATTAAACATTGTTAAATAAATATCATTTATCTCATGTTTACTGCTCTTTCATACTTCACTATTATACATGTATTATATGCACAAGCATATATGATATTATACAACTCCTATATCAAGTTCACTTTCATAAAATTACAGGGTTTCTAAGCATTCTTCAAAAAGACAGGCTAGTTCACAAACTTAAATTTGGATTTTCCAGAGTATTCTTTTTTCAACATGTTTATTTTATCATTTAAAACTCTTTCCCAAGTTTCATTATTTTTGAACATTGATTGATATTTTTTTTCTGGCATATTTCAAACTAGCCCAAAACCTGGAATTTTTACATTATATCAAGAATCTCGGTCGACGTGACGCGGCTAAAACACTAGAAAACTTATTAGTAATAAATTGTTTGTCAAATCATCATCAAAACTATAGGGTCAACAGGGGTCTATGTAGCAGTTAACCCTAGAATCAATTCAAAAAGTTAAGGTAATGTTTGGATACCACGGTGTTTTTAGCGTTTCCATAGTGCTTTTGCCAAAAATAAAACACCACGTGTTTGAAAACCATGGTGTTTTTGTTAGGCTACAAGATCAAAAATAAAAAACACAACATTTATTTGAAAACACCAACAAGACGTTTCAAGTTTGATATTTATGTTTTAGTTTCAAAGGTGTTAATATAATATCTAACATAGTTTATTAATAATATTAAATTATATTGTTTAATATGTTACATTATAACATTAGTTTCAAATATAAAAATATTATGTTTAATACAATTAATTAATAATACATATAATATTATAATTAATATAATATAATAAGTATATTTCAAGTAGTATTATATTAATATTAAATAATAATAAATTAAATATATAAATAAAAATATAGTAATAAAATAAAAATATATCTATTTGATGCATAACATAATATAATATAATGTTAAATTATATTATACTATACAAATAAATTACATTATAATATTATTTTCCTAATATATCAATACTATGTTTAATATCATTAATTAATATAATATTATAACTAATATAATATAATAATTATAGTTTAAATACTATTTTATATATTGTATATATTAAATTAATATCAAATAATAATAAAAGAAAATATATTGATAAAACAATAAAAATAATAATTTATTATTAATAAATAATCATATAGTAATGATATAATAT